TTTATTAATGTGGAGGAGATGGATTGTTTATAAATAGAGTTTGTGGAGTTAGAGATATTAATATTTGTTTACCTATATTTGAATATTAGCCTGGGATTTGGTTTGGGAAGTCCGGGGGGGTGGGATATATTATAATATTGTGTAATACTTGTGATGTTTTTTTCTTTTTTGGAAAACAATAAAAATTTTATATTGAAAGTGTGCTCCCAATTACTTTTCCACAGGAACCTCTAAACATAGGTGGAAAAAATACTACATCATATTATGATTTGGTGTAATGCCTAGTTTTTGTGTCAGTTTAAGATAAAGACTGTGATCACTAAACATGATGAACTATACTTACCCTGCCCCTTGCAGTAAAGCTTGGCATACCTTATAATAGCAGCCAATAAGTGACTGATATGAAGGTTAGCATTTGGTCTTGTGGCATATAATGAGATTTAATGCAGAAAACATGGCTGCTTCTTATGCAGAGTATCAACTAGTAAATGTTAAAATGGAGCACTAATTTCAAAAGTTAGCCTGAGTCAGATTATGTAGACCTCTGCCTACATAATTGCATTACAATGTGGTCCTAAAATACAAAGGACATAAAAGCCATATTTCTATAGAACATGAGTACTTGGATGGGACTTCAAATGGTTGTAATCAGGGGTGCAGAGCATGAGTGATATTTAGAATGACCAATTTCAAAAGAAAAGCCATTCTTTAAGAAAATACATAAATGAATGACCCAAGAGAACTGGAAGTCAGTGTGAGCATCCATGTATAGATAACTAAATAACTAGATAACTAAAACTAAATTAAACTAAAACTAAAACTAAACATAGGGTTCCATCTTATCTTTGATGTTGTTGACCTAATATCTCTTTTTTCTTTTCAGATGGAATCTCGGAAACGCCTCGCCAAAACAGTGCTAGTTTTTGTCTGTATCTTTGCTTTCTGTTGGCTCCCTAACCATATCATCTACTTATATCGGTCATATCATTATTCAGAGGTGGATACATCAGGCCTGCACTTTATCACTTCTCTTTGTGCTCGAATATTGGCATTTATTAACTCTTGCATAAATCCTTTTGCCTTGTACTTGCTCAGCAAAAGTTTTCGAAAACAGTTTAATCACCAGTTATCTTGTTATAAAACCCGTCTTCTCATTCGATCCCAGAGTACAGCCAGAAGTACCACCCAGATGACATCTTTCAAGAGCACCAACCAGCAGTCCATGATCACCTTCAGTTTTATTAATGGCAACCACAACTGCCATGAAGAAAATGTACAGTATGCATGAAATTAATACTTACTGCAAGAGTTTACTAGCCATTGCTGCCTATTTGTATGTAGTCAGCAACAAATGTTCATATGTACATAAAGAAATAGGTCAGTGACCAGACCATGAACTAGGCAGTGTGCAAGAAAAAATAATAATGCAGACTTAAAGGGCTCTCCATACCTGCTTTTTGTTTTTATGATTTTGTTTTATGCTGGTCCATTTTCATTCACATTTTGATGCTTTGCAGATGTGAAGGGACTGCAACATCTGGCATTCCCACACAAGCCAGGAATTCTGAGAGTTCAAATCAAATATATTTGGAGGGCCCCTGTTAGAGAAAGGGTGGTCTAGCATAGTGTTTCACAACTTTGGCCCCTTGAAGATGTGTGGACTTCAAGTCCTAGAATTCTGCAGCCAGCATGACTGGCTGGGAATTCTGGAGGCTGAAGTCCACACAACTTCAAGGGTCCAAGGTTGGGAAACACTGCTCTAAACCCAAACAAAGGCAGGGGGCTTAATGAAAGAAAATAATTTCAGAGAAACTATTTTTGATATAGGAAGCTTTGGACTTTATTGCTGAGATGAGCCTGTCCCTCACTGGGTTTTCTGTGATGTACAAAAAACAAGCACAGGATTCAGTGCAAACCCAGCTTTTTAGTCCCTTCTGAACCGTTCTTCTTAGCTTCCCCACTTCTAGTACAGCACTGATATTTAAGTTCTCTTTTTTAAAGTGGAAAGTCAGTGGGAGCTTCAGGACAATCTGAAGAACTTTAAAGGCCAAGCAGAGCAATGCCAAGCACTTGCATTCAGATAACAGATACATGCAGTGCTTTTTTTGTAAAAAAAAAAAAAAAAAAAAAAAAGGTGCCGGAACTCACACACGTCATACAACCCGCCTTGCCTACCCTACAAGGTTCCATCCAAAAAAGGTGCCGGAACTCCGTTCTGGGTGTTCTATGACAAAAAAAGCCCTGGATGAGTGTACAGCATGAGATTGTTCTTCTCCCTTGGGTTGATATCTTAAAGAATCTCTAGTTCTACTGATAAAATAATAGAATCTCCTTTTGTCCACATTCAAGCTTAAGAACATGCATTCATGGTTCTTCGCTTTCTGTATTAAAGAAAAGTAAGCCAGTTTGCTAAAGGAAAAGCACCATTCTCTTCAAAAGAAACATGTTGAAACCTGTTTAGAGTCGTGTAACTAAGTGGAAGAGCTTTATTATTATTATTTAGTTTTCAATTCAATTCAGTCTGGGACTGATAAAAACAGTTCAAGTCCTAACCAAAGACCTAAGAACTGTTAAGGTAATGTCTGAGTAGATAGGCAGTTCTGAGTAGGGTGTTTTTTTGCAAAGTCAAAATATTCAGATCTAATAAGTTCAAAATTTATGTAGCTAGACAGCCCTGTGGGTATTTGTCCAAGGACTCCTATTACTATTGGTACAACCATTGATTTCTTCCTCCACAATCGCTCGACTTCAATTTGCAATTCACAATATTTCATTTTTTCCTGTTCAGTTTGTGCATCAACTGCTTTGCAATATCAATGAACCAGACTTTTTTTCTTTTCGACAATAGTGATGTCAAGCATGTTGTGGGCCAGATGTCTATCTGTTTGGATCCAAAAGTTCCACAGGATCTTGACCTGTTCGTTTTCAAGAACTCTGTCAACTTGGTGTTTCCAGTGACTTTTCAGGCAGTATTAATTCATGGTGTTTTTTTAAAAAAGGTGTAAAGAGAATTGAATTTACTTGGGTTTGTCTCACTACCTTTCCCCCATCTGAATGCAAAAGTATATTGCATATAATTTGAATGTGAAAAGGGGTGCCAATTCAATAAATGGAAGCTTCAGTATGTTTACAGGTGTATGCATTTTATCATATGTGTGGTGGAGTGTGGGGAGAATAAAGCACTGATTTCTCAAAATGTCATAACGTTTTTATAAAAATGTCTTTAGCCCATGCATCAATGGTATCCAGATAAGTCATATTGTTCTCTATATATGTTTCTTTATGGTGAACAAATGTAAAAGAAATCTCCATGTCTTCCTTACATTTTCAAAAATAGACTATAGTAATGATGTGACTACTGCTAAAATCTCTACCATTTTTCTTCTTCTGCAGCATTATACTTCCAGATGATATAAGTAATACAGTTGCAATGTTTTGATATTAATAGACTCAAAACAAATAGAAATTCCAGATTTTGCAATGACAAAAACATTTTCAACATCTGGCATGTATTCTAATCAAAAAGGATGAAACATGATGGAGAATAGCTAGCCTAGAGCTCGTCTTGTTCTCAGTTTGATTCCCCAGAGGCAGATTAGTCATGGGAAAAGTATTGACAAGACTTTCAAAAATAGTTACTGTTCTGTTCATGAGTCCAAGGCATTTAGACGAAGCGAGTAACACAAAAGCAAGTCTTCTTTATTGCAAGTCAGTAACAAAACAGTAAACAAAATGGCGTGCAGGCCTTTTATAGTCTCCTTGCAAGGACAGCGTCAACCAATCAATACAAGGCTGGTTTCGCGCCTTGCGCATGCGCGCAAGGCTGGCAACAGCCTGTCTGGTCCCAAGCAACCATGTGGTCTGCCTGGGACTCTCTGCAGCCTTCCTGAGCCTGCTGAGCAATTCAGCAGGACCAGGACATAACACCCCTCCCCCCTGGATAAAACAATAAGTAACCCTTACTGTTATAGCACTAAACATATACATGTGTTCTATTGGCATTTGTTATTGTTAAACACATTATGCCTGCACACAGGCAGACCCAATCTTGCATTTTATATGTACAAGAATATAGCAAAATGTTTAATACACTGAAATATAACACCCCTTCATTTGAGTGTTTGTTTTGCATTTTAAAGAACTAACAAGATTCTCTCAGGCTTGACAGAAACCTCACATAGTCCTTAAGATGTTTGGATGGACCCTTGGCCCGCTGTGACCTTCTTATGGCTGGTGTGTGTGCCTGGCCTGCCAGCTTGCCTGCCATGCTAGGCAGACCAGGACTTTGTTGCCCCAAGGACCCAGGTGACCCACCCAGCTGCTGACTGGCTGGATCTGCTAAATCCAAGCCAGAGTTCCTTGGTGGGGTGGAATTACCCAAGTCCACAATGGACCCCTCTTGGGAGCACTGTCCCTCGAGCCCAAGACCAGCAGCTGGAGTGGCCTGAGTAGCCGATTTACCCCAATGCCCTATTGACCCAGTGTCTGCACTGCAGGTGCCAGAGTCAGGAGCCGCCTCCATGGCAACCCCCCCTTCTGGAGCAATAGCTGAAGCACTTGGCCGGAGAGACTGTGGTCCACAATCGTAATTGTGGTCCCCCCGAGAGCAGAGCCAGGAGCAGAAGTGTTGCTGGGAAGCCTCCAGCGCAGTTGGTCAATGTGACGTCAGATCACATGACCATCATCCAAGGCCACTTCGTATGACAGCGGCCCAGAGACCTTGCATACCACTGCTGTGACCCAGAGATGTCCAGGTCCATAGTTCCTTGTCCAGACCGGATCGCCCACCTGTAGTCTCCTAGGTGCCCGCAGCTGTGACACCTGTGACGCTACCCGGTCTGGGTGCAACCTGTCCAGTTTAGTGATGAGGCGGCGACCCCAGCGGAGTTCTGCTGGGCTCTTCCCCGTGGCTGTGCAAAGCATGGTGTGTTGTGAAAGAAGGAAATCAGCTAACCTGTGATGCCAGCTGCCATAAGTGATTCTTTTAAGAGCATCTTTGGTAGTGCGCACCATCCTCTCTGCCTGGCCGTTGGAAGATGGATGAAACGGTGCTGAAGGAGCGTGCCGGATCAAGTTGGCCTGTAGAAAAGCCTGAAACTCAAAAGAAGTAAATTGGGGGCTGTTATCTGAGACCAGGACATCTGGAAGTCCATGAGAAGCGAAGAATCCTCTCAACACCTGGATGGTCCTAGCAGTAGTAGTGGAGGAGACAGGCACAACTTCTAGCCACTTGGAATGGCTGTCAAAGAGAAGAAGGAAGAATTGCCCCTGAAAGGGCCCAGCATAGTCGATATGCACCCTCGACCAAGGGGAAAGTGTCTCCTCCCACCTATGTACAGGGGCTTGAGGCATTTCAGGCCTGGACTGCTGGCACACTTGGCATCCATGAACTTGGGTCTCGATCTCTTTATCAAGCCCAGGCCACCAGAGATGGCTATGCGCAAGTGCTTTCATCTGGACTATGCCCAGATGTCCCTCATGCAGAGAGAGCAAGACTCTAGTCCTCAATGAGGCTGGGATGACTACCCTGCTACCCCATAAAAGGCACCTTTTGAAAGTGAAAAGCTCGTGCTTCCTTTGCCAGAAGCTTTGAAACTCAGTACCTGGACACATGTCAGGCCATCCTGACAACACCCATGTCAGCACACGTGTGAGCGTGTGATCAGTGGCAGTTTCTGCAGCCACGTCCCTAGCATTGAGGGGAGATTCAGGCAATTCCTGAATGGAGAGAATGTGAAGAGCAGGAGCAGGATCTGCCTCTATTTGCTGTAGAGATAATCTGCTGAGGCCATCTGCAGGTTTGTGCACCAAAGTGTAGTCGTATGCTGACAGGAAAATTGACCATCTCAGCATTCTAGGAGAGATTATGTGTGGGGTTTGTTTATTTGTGGTAAACAAACCCAGCAGAGGCTTATGGTCTGTGTAGACTGTAAAATGGCGGCCATATAAGAAATCATGAAATTTCTTTATGCCAGCCACTATGGCCAAGGCTTCTCTGTCAATCTGTGCGTAATTACGCTCTGCAGATGACAGAGTCCTTGAATAGTAGGCCACAGGGACTTGTGTCCCATCAGCCTTCAGATGACTAAGCACAGCCCCAACCCCATAAGGGGACGCATCACATGCGATGCACACAGGCAATTGCTCATTGAAATGCGCTAAAACCGCATTTGGAGAGAGCAAGGCCTTGACCTCTGTGAAACTCCTTTCATGGACCTTAGTCCACTGCCAAGGAGCCTGTTTGTCCAAGAGCCGGTGTAACGGCTCAGCCACTGCAGCCTTGTGGGGAAGGAATGCATGATAAAAGTTTAAGAGTCCCAGAAAAGCCTGAAGTTCGCTTTTGGACTTGGGACTTGGGGCC